AGGAGCCCGTCTGCACAGGGAGCCGGTTTTTAAACTGATACAAAGGTAACAGCGCAGGGTGAAGGGCACTCTCTGGGAGTGGCATCGGAAGCACACTGGCTGCCAGTCTCACACCCAGGAACTATCGAATGGTCATGTAAATCACTAAATGAACACACTACAATCGCTAGATGCGGTTACCCTGTAATTGAATAATCATGTATCTAACATCCCTAATTCCCCTTCATATGCCAAAAAACCTCATGATTTTAAATGTAACCCTAAACTGATATTTGTTTGACTGAAAATTAGTTAATATTAAACAAAACTTAACCAAAAATTGGTACCTATGAAACCTCTGTGGATAAAAACAGCTTGTTAGCATACTAATTTCTGTAGGACAAGGAAAATTTGCTCATTTCTGTCAGTATGTCTAAAATCAAATTGAAGGAGCACCCTTCAAAAGTAGATGCACCAACATATACTTTTACCAAACACATTTGAAAATTTAATGCAGCCAGATAAATAGTTCTTGAAAAGCTGAGCACAGAAAATAAAATTGATTCCTGGAAAATCTAACCTGTTGTCCATTTGAACCAACCACTAACATATAAACATTAATTAATTCGATCTAATTAGAGAATGGATTACATTAACAACAGACTGCTTGAAGGATAAAATAGTTAATGAATAAGGCTACTTATTTCATGAAATTGTAAAGGGCATTCTGAGCATCAAACCATAGAAGTGTTTTTAATTTTAAAAATCCTACACTTAAAGTTAGGAACTGAGAAAGTTATTACACAAGAGATTCATCTGAAATAACAGGCCAGAGCCTGAAGTATATAAAGAAAGTTCTAGCCCTCCAACAGCAAAAAACCATCCTATCACCGTATTACTCTTGAACATAGGATAATTTATGAGTGACAAGTATCATGTAGCAGATCCTGGACTACCCTGCATTGACAATAAAAGGTGATTATGTGCCTTGAACACAGTGCAGATCCCTAAAATGCAAAACCCAGGTCTGTCTCAAGTCTGGTGCACATAAGCAGAGAGAGGTAGGAATGTTTTGAACAACAATGCAGATTAAGCACGGTACAGCGAGGCCATGTCAAGAACACACGACAAGCAGTCTTGTACTGTTACTTGTTTCTGATGAGCAAAAGTTACAGATGCAGCCATACAACTGTCAAGTACGCACATAATAGCAACATCCTGAGTGACAAGATGTACTCCAAATAGGGTATTTGGGTATTTTGCATATCCAATACAATACTTAATCAATTGGTAAATATTATTAGAACAATCAAGCCTCGCTTTCCTATAAAATGGACTAGTAAGAACAATGGATGAGAGGAATTGGGAATGGGCACTATTGCCCCCCGGGCCTTCTCTATGTAACTAGAAGTAAATAGGCCCTTCATACTGGCGACCCAGTGCATGGTATTCCATTACATGGGAAGAAAAGAAACAACGACCTCCTGCCTGGAACTGTAGGTAGCATACGAGTGAAGTGCACGTGAATTAGGCTTTATCATTGTTTTATAGTAGATCTTCTATTAATTGCTTTTGCATTGCTTTGCACTGTATTAATTGCTTTAGAATGTATAGTATTTAAGGTTTCAATTGTATAGTAATTGTTTTTAAGGCTTGTAACACTTAGACAACTATGTTAACTGCTTAAAGCTTGCAATAAATAAGAAAGTGGTTAAGTATCCCTGAAGTGTGCTGGTTTCCCTTGGATCTAAAATAAATTGAACCACACAACAAGCTCTGTCACCCCCTCTCTATGGCCAACACAGAAGACATGGCATTAGGGTCACTGGCAGTTTGAGACACTTTCAACAACCCAGAATCAGAGGAGAACTCAACTAAGTTAAGGACATCTCTGCAAATGACTCTCCTTAGTCAAGTCAATATCTGAAACTACTTTTTCAGGGATGAATCCAATAACTAAACATACGAAAATTGTTTTTAAATCAATACACTCATGGATAACTAAAAGAAATTGCTTCATTAGCCACATTTATTAAAATATCTTCTACATTAACAGAAGACAACATTATCATGTCAAGATATAGAATTATCTATACTTTTCCGCTGTGGAACATTCAGTAATTAAGCCTCTCCCTTAAGGATTGTCTACGTTCCCAAACCTGACCTTTAGTTAAAATATTTTTTCTATAAAAAGAGAATAGGGGTTCACAGACCCAAATCTGAGAACCAGAGGCATAAAGAACAAGCAGACACCTTAAGTTGACAAAATATTAAAGTCAGACTTTTTCTGAAAAATGTATTTAGACATTCACAGATCAAATATTTCTTCAGGAAAACCACAACATAAATTCCTATGTTGTACAACAGCATACAGTGAATGTCATTATATAAATTTATTTACAAAATGGAAATATACAAAAAGCTAAAAAATAAAATGTACAATGGCTGGAGTACTATTGCCACATATTCAGGCAACTCATGAGTTATGTAGGCATTCCCAGGTACCCAAACAAATGTGGCTATAAAAATAACTTTACATCATCTATGTCCACATGGAGATGCATCACCAACTCAACACCACTCACACAGTTAAACAATCTTATTTGGTAATTCAGCATTAGCTATGACCAATTTAGATCCTTAGGCCATATGCCTTTTTGGTGGGAGGGAGCATCAAGCAGAAAAAAGATGCTTATCAAAACTATTTCAAGACAGGTCTCAAGTACCATTAATGGGCTGCTTCACCACAAACTGTACATGTGGTATGCACTGCTGCTTGACCTGTGGTATGCAGCTGCATTCCTCAGGTAATCTATATTTAAAGTATGGGTTCCAACACACACTCTTGTTTAAGTTAGTTTAGTCATAATTAGAAGAACATATAATAAATATATTTTTGTCTCAGAACACAAGTAACTCCAAACAGGAAATGATAAAGGGTAGCATGGAAGATAAATATTAACTTAATATTTAAAAACATAAGACAACCTGCTCTGATCAATATCTATAATTTACATGTGGCCTTATAATTTCAGTATAAAGATGAGAATTCAAACTAAATCAGCCCTTTTTGTATCACCCTGAAGAAGAAGAGCCAAAAAACAATGGGTTGTACAGAGCTTGTCTTAATTATCACACTGATTGAATAAAGAGACCAACAGACAAACTAAAGTCACACTATTTACTCATTTGTCAAATACAAGTACCTTCATCAACAGCTCAAAAAGCAAAACATTAGTATACCTGTTAACCTTTTAGAACTATTGGCCTTGTAATTTTAGTTCACATAACCTTGCATGGGAGCTGGCCAAGCTCTTAATTAAAACAAGCACAAAGGAAAGTTTCCAATGGAGACCAAGAGAAAATGGTCCAATTATCTACTTTTTAACCAGTGTGTGGATGGGAGTCAGGTGTAAATAGGAGTAAAGATGTTAAATTGCATTTAAGTAACTAGTTGATACCAGGGAGCAACTAGTTGAGTCACTACTGACTATCCAATAAGCATATGCTTATCAGATAGTCGATTAGTCACTTACATTCTTAGATAGGAACATGTTAGGATTAGGAACATTTACTCTGCACTCTGTCTAGTGTTCCAAGTTATGTGGGAGAAAACTTATCGGAATTATTATAGGCAAAATAAATTTACTTCCTGAGTCTCAAATGCTCAGTCTATAATTTTAATTACAAGGGTGGGCCACCAAAAAAGCTGAGTGTTTTAAACCGTGTAAACGAGTATCTGGGATCACGTTAATGTTTCTGGTATCCTTTGCTCTTAAAGAGAGAGAGCAAAGGGAAGCATGCATGCCAATTTCTGAATCCCTTCAATCAGAGTTAAACCTACTGGCTAGGAAGGACAGATACATCCAGACACTGTAAATATCAGTCAGTCTCAGTGGACTCAACCCACATTAAAGAGACCCTGGCTGCTCACTTCCAACAAAGTTTCACTATGTAGGATGAGGTGATTTGATTCTTCCTGGCAAAAAGCAGCATAGAGGAAATGGGTGGTGAGACAAGTAAGTATGGCCTAGTTGTGTCATTACCAATATTTAGAAGACATTACCCACTCTGATATTCAAGACTTAGGATAGACTTGCACTTGCTTGCTTTATTTGTGGGATGTCTGTGTTATGCAGGGATCGCTACAGTTACTGCATCTGATTTTCTTAAGATTTGGGGACCGAGGAACAGATCACTTCAGTTTTAGAAAAAAACAGCAAGCAAATGGCCTGGTAGCACTTTATAGACTAACAAAACATGTAGATGGGATCATGAGCTTTTGTGGGCACAGCCCACCTCTTCAGATGAGCAGAGTTATAGAGCTCTTCTCCCCTTGCTATCAAATGGGTCATTGAACTTCACCAAGCCGGTCTCAACTTCCCTGGTACAAAGTAAGAAACTTCCCAGCTGTCAACCTCCTTCCCCTGCCCTCCTCAAACTTCCCCCAGAAAAGCTCTCCCTTCCGCAGCTCAGCTACCCCAGACGGGACCAGGGAGGAGTGACACCAACAACCCCAGGGCCGAACAAAAACAAGCCAGTGGGACAAGGTGGCAGAAATCGACACAGTTCCCCCTCGATCCCCATCGCCCAGCTCCCTCGCCCGCATCCACACCCCCCGCGCAGGCACATGGCGAGCTGGGGACACGGACACACGCCCCCCGCACCCAGAGGGGCGCATCGCACGACAGAACCTTCAGCCCCTGCTGACCCCAGGCCAGGCCGCGGTCAGTAACCCGGCCACGCTCCGGTCGCCTCACGCCCGCCCGG